TGAAAGAGATGCTTGCAGAAAAGTTTAAAATGAAAGATCTTGGCAAACTAAAACATTTTCTGGGTATCGATTTTAGTCCGTCAGATGATTGTGTAAAGATGTCACAGGAAAAGTACACCAACAAGATACTACAGCGTTTCGATATGCAAGACTGTAGACCAAGAGAAACACCTTGTGAGCAGAAGCTGGAGTACACTGAGGGTGCAGTAAAGATGGAAGATGTCAGGATGTACAGAGAGGCTGTGGGGAGTCTTATATATCTGACTGTTTGCACCAGACCAGATTTAAGCTTCGTTGTGAGCAGGTTGTCACAATTCTTTGCTGAGCCTACAGAGGAACAGTGGATCACTGTGAAGCATGTACTCAGGTATCTCAAAGGCACAGCAGAAATAAGGGTTAAGTTTTGTTTGTCCCAAACTGTTGTATATGAAGAAGTGATGAAGGCCGTCTGACCGTGACACTGATGTGTCAGCGGCAGCTCGAAGAAAAGAAATAAATATGCCGAAGACGGCTAAAGGTGGCTCATCTGAAATCGTCCCGTTCCTTTTCTTCGGAACGCAACGTTTAGCTGCAAGAATGCGAGTAACGCAACTCAACACACGCGCTATTCACACACACACACACACACACACACACACACACACACACACGCTATCCACACACACACACACACACACGCTATCCACACACACACGCACACACACACACACACACGCCCTGTCCACACACACACACACCCTGTCGCCACACACACACACACACGCTATCCACACACACGCCATCCACACACACACACACACACACACACACACTGCGCCTCCTCCAGGTCTGTAAATGAAATTTAGAAGATTTAAAGTTAAATCTCATCAATTAACTTAAACACAAGTTGTCTCTTTCCCGTCGTCATGGTTACGCGCATGTGGTTCATAATTGGTGGACAGCGTTTTCAGCACCTTTTGCTGATGGACCTTTTGACATATTAATAATAAGTGATAAATTATGGCCTGATCATATTTCATATTTGCTCTTCAGCTGATCGTTTCTTCCCTCGAATACGTTTGATCCAAAGAGACCAATTGTCACTCGGTCCATCCGTCAATCAAAGTCCTCACGTGGACGATGAGACGTCGTTTTGAATGAAACGCTGCACTTTAGAGTCGAGGACTGATTACGTATCTGAGTTATGCGTCATAATCAAGGTCGAGTTTTATCTTTCTGTGTGTGTGTGTGTGTGTGTGTGTGTGTGTGTGTGTGTGTGTGTGTGTGTGTGTGTGTGTGTGTGTGTGTGTGTGTGTGTGTGTGTGTGTGTGTGTGTGTGTGTGTGTGTGTGTGTGTGTGTGTGTGTGTGTGTGTGTGTGTGTGTAGGGTCGACGTGTGTAACTGCTCTGCATCCACATGTTCACACCTCTGGATGTGTTTGACAGGAAAAGGAATCTGATTGGAGCAACGGTGCGTTTGATTCGCTCGCCTGCCGGTGACGTTCTTTCTCTCTGAAGTAAAAAGACACTTTTTTCAGATCTTTGTGGTTTTTAACTCCTTATTCTAAAATGAGTGATTTTAGTGATCGTACTTGATCCTCTTGCAGAGCGAAGGAACCGGCTGAGCTAACGTTAGCATTAGCTCGGCCTTCGTCCTCCGAAAGCAGTCGAAGGAACAGACGTGAAGCTGCGTTTATTCAGTATTTTAATGAGTAAACGCGTCTAATGTTGCTCTTTGGTTTGTGTTTATGATGAAAGCTGAAACCACAGCTGATTTAGAAGTTCATGTTTTATCAGAATGAACTCGCTGATGAGGGCTTTATGTTTCTATTGTGTAAGTTAGCTCGATAAGCTAATTGTAAATTGGGCCATTTCTGCGTAATTGTGGTCGTTAAACGAGCGTCTATGACGCCAATAAAAGGTCACCTGACCCGTGTTTGGCGCTGGAGGCGACGCGAGCCGCCCGATGTCGAGTTAACGGTTAACTCGTCCTTCAGGAACACGTCGTCCCACTCGGGGACTTCTGACATGGAAGAAAGCTGCTTCTTGTTTATCTCGTTTTCTGCGAACAGGAAGTGACCCGAGGGGCGTAGAGAGACCTGTCAATCACCACGTTGTTGTTGGGTTCGTGCAGGCTGTTGACCTCTGACCTCCTCAATGGGGATTACACGTCCTTCTCTGCGTTCATGCAACTGATCTTCAGCGCTGCGGCGGACGGGTGAGACGTGGGGAGGTTGTGTGGTTTCATGTTCAGATCAGAGTGCCGACAGGAAGCCGGGGAGGCGCCTCACTGGGGGCCACTGGGGCTCCTGAAGTCTCTGTTGGGGCCTCGAGGACGTTTGATTCCGGCAGGTTGAAGCTGCTGATCGTTTGTTTCACTTTGAACATTAATGTGCAGGAATGAGGAAACGCACAAAAACCACAAACGCGTTTTATTGCTCCTCAGATCACAGAACTTTAGTTTGATTCCTCCTGTAGAACGTTTCCTCCACGCAACATGAGATCTACTCCTCAACTCAATCGCTAAGAGATGAAGCCTGTTTTGTCCCTGCAGCTGACCGGCGTCCCTCTCAACGTCTCCATCCGCCTGCAGCTCAACCTCTACATGAAGAAGGTGTCGGCCATCACGTAAGGAGGTCCAGACCTCGTGGACCATCGTCTTCTCGTGAGACCTCAGAGGCCACTTCCTGCCTCAGTTTGACCTTCACTGTTGTTTATTTCGTCCTTGTAGAGAAACTGGAAAGATCTCCGAGGTGGTGATGCCGATGATCTGGTTTGAGGAGGTGCCTTGTCTTTTATTTCAAGTGTCTCCAGAGACCTTCTTAATTCCACTCATCCAATGTCTTTTCCTCAGTGTCCTAAAAGCTGTCCAATCAGGATCTGAGGATCGATCACGTGACCTCTCTTCTTACCCCCCCCAGAGCGGCTACATCGACGGGCCCATCCTCTCCACCTTCCACACCAACCTGGTGGTGCTCCCCGCCGTGATGGAGGCCATGCAGTACGGCTTCATCGCCCTCGGCCTCGCCACCATCCTCATCGCCTCGCTGCTGCACCACAGGGTGACGGTGAGGCCTCCAGGCTGCACGTAGCATGTAGCGTAGCGTGGCTCAGACACCTGCAGCCCGTTAGCTTAGCATTGGACCAACGAGGGAGCAGGAGAATCGAGGATCAGTCAGTTAGCTTTTAAGACGCAACCAGGCTAGCAGTTTCCCTCGGTTTCCAGTCTTTGTGCTAAGCTAAAGGCCGCTGCTAAAGAGACGCTTCAAAGCGCTTCTTTGCTTTTGAGAAGGAGGTTAAAGTGTTTTTGATGCTGTGTGTTTGCAGAGGGCTCGTTCACATGTGACCACGACGTTCTCAGGAGACGACGACCCTGTAGGTCCAAAATCCGTCTCCTCCACAAGCCGACATCAATCAATCAATCAATCAATCAATCATCGTTGGTTTATAGCTGCTTTTAACGGTTTGGACAATCATAGCGTTATGAATATGTCCATTTCTTACTGTATTAAATGAATTCAGGAAGATTCCTGTATTTGCAGCGCTGAGATCTCATGAAGAGACGTCACATTTCTTCCTGCGTCTTTACAGATGTTGATGTGTCCTTTATTTAATCCATCACATAAGACTCAGTGGTTCCATCACAAACTCGTCTTCCTCTTCTTCCTCATTAACTTTGCTGCATGATGATTTAATGATCGAAGTAACCAATCACACGCCGTCCTGATTAACAAACTAATCGAGTAGCAGCAGGAAGGATGAATGCATGAATTCTAATGACTGAAATACCTAACGACCAATCAGGAAGTTTCTAATGATGGTATCCATGGCGATAACGATAAGACAATGTGGTCCTTTTAGGTCTCCGATAAAGAGCGAATAGAAGGAGCTCACGACCCCCAAACGAAGGAGAAATGTGTCATTAATAATTAAGGTGGGTGCACACGCCTACACACAGTGTGTAACGTATATTAATCATCTTTATTCAAATACGGACTCATGTGATGTTAAAACAGGACAAAACATGGGAACCTTTTCATCATCCTTCCTTTTTTGGTTTGGTACCAAATGTTCATTTTGTAAAGTGGTGATGATGATGATGATGACTTCCTGTTTGACTCAAACGAGTCGTCCGTGGGGGTCTTTTTTTAATTTTTATTAACTGTCCTTTTGATCTTCTCTAATGCGCCGTCCCTTCTGGTCCTAAACGCAGAGGAGGTGACAGGAAGTGGACCCGTCCTACGGAAACAAGAGCACTTCTACTGGACAGAAGGAACCTTTGCTGAAGACACACACACACACACACACACACACACACACACAGCTGGTGTCGTGGAGACACACACACACACACACACACACAGCTGGTGTCGTGGACTCACTGACGTTGTTGCAGCGTCTTAAACTGCAACAGGGAAGTTTTACACAGACGACGGGTCTCTGTTGCCGTGGTTACGCTTGTCTTTTATCTGTAAATGAAACTTTTGTGATCAGATACATTTTGGTGTCAAAGTCGCAGACAAACGATCCTCAACCTTTCACAATAAAAGTCCTGCTCTCACTGATCCGGATGGACGGTCAATGCGTTAAAAAGATCCGCCTCTTAAAACACTTGCTTTGTGTACGACGAATTACTCAAATCAATGTGTCTGCATGAACAAGGCACCAGACACCAGGCTGAACTTCACCACCGACGCCTTCATGGAGGTCTGACTGATGCTGTTATTCCACGTGGAGTCACTCTTCTTCTGCAAAGCGTGATGGAGATGAATGATGACGTTTGGCCGTCTAAACGCCTCCTTTTTATTATTAAAAGTGATCGAATGGGGAGAAACTTGAATGTAATAAATATATTTAGAAATTCTATTTGAACTTGTGATCTTTTCTCCTGTGAGAAGGAAACAAAGCGGTTTAGGTGAATCAAAAGTCGAGAAGCTGTTTAAGTTTTAATCCTTATCGGATTATTTCATATCTCTGCTGGAAGCTGAGTGGAAGGAGCTTAAAGAACAGGCCTTTAGATGTGACCTTCACGCTGTAGTACTGCTACTGCTACCGGGTCAGAGTTCTTCTCCAGGGGAACATGTTCCAGATGTTCCAAACTGTGTGGACCACTAGACATCATCTGTCTTTGGTTCTGGATGTCCAGAGACGTCTTGATGATTTTTCCAGTGCGCTTGAAGACATCGTGGACTCCACACGTCAGCAGATGAAGACGGAGAGACGTGAGGAGCGCGAGCAGAATAAAACAGCGCTGGTCTTGTGGACGAAGACGTCTCTTCATTGCTCCACTGCACACGTGACCCCCTGAGGTCTGGACCGGGGACACGTGACCCCCTGAGGTCTGGACCGGGGACACGTGACCCCCTGAGGTCTGGACCGGGGACACGTGACCCCCTGAGGTCTGGACCGGGGACACGTGACCCCGTGAGGTCTGGACCGGGGACACGGACACTGAACTCTGAGCAACATGAAGTCAGTCAGCTGCTTCAGGACAAAAGAGGGTGAATGATGTGAATCAGAAGGTCTCTAAATAACCTACTCGTTATTTATCTGTTATTATGTGATCTTACTGGTCCGGCTGCTTGAGATCAAAGTTTGACACCTGGTTCACAGCAGAATGAGGACGTACTTTATTGTGATCATTTCTTTCAGGTACAATAACGACGTTATTAAGAGATTTAAAGTTAAAATCGTTCCTCTTTCTGTTTGATCTGATTTTTTGGGACCGTTGCTGCTGTCTGTGTTTTATTTTGGCGGTGCATTGAGAGACTCCATCACATTTAACACTTTCAATACTCAAGTTTCTTAGTAATAAACTCCAGCCTGTTATAAAATACGTGCTTGTTGTTTGTGTGTTGTTGTTGCCACGGTGACGCGGCCCAAAACACCACAAGGCGACTTCAGTAGGATATTTACTGCAGGATGAAACCTTCAAGTTGCACCTGAAGCACCGAGCTCAGTAGTTTGTGTTGTTTGGAGACGACTCTGCGTTAACGTTCATACGGTTAATAAACCAAGTTATTTATTACTTATTTGTTTGTTTATTACAAACTTTTCACTTCCTTTGTCAACCAGCTGTAACACAGATGTTTTCTCTGCTAGTGACAAAACAAGTAAATACATATAAATAATATGTAAATAGTACAGCATGTTTAAGAAGGATCATAGTATTTCATGTCAAAATAACCAATACAGCATGTTTATATTATGACGTGTTTAAAAATGTACAGTTGTTTCCAATAAAAGTCATTTATTAACATTAGAAACATACAATTATATTGCTGTTAAGCCAAAGTAATACGTGGACTAAATGTTGTACTATTATAGTGAATAAAAACACAAGTACTGATATTATCTGTCAGGATATTAAACATTTTCTTCAGAAGTTTGAATCATTAAAAAAAGGTTTTTGTTTAAAACAAAGCTGATTATGTGAAATTATTTCTTAGTTCACTGAACAGATTCTGAAAGATTAAGTTAAAATTGTCTTAAAAAAGAATTCGACATTTAAAGTGTTTCCCCTTGTTGTTATTAGCGTGAGTGGAAATGAAACACACACATAAGGACACATTTATCTCACATGGGGGCAGACGAGCATTTTATAAAACGTCTTCTTGAAGATATAAAGATGAAGATTAAAGCCTAATTAGGAGCCGATATCTAAACGATGATCTATTGATTCAAGGAGCACAGCAGCATTAAGCTGAGCTCCTTCACACGTCCACCTGAGTCCCAGAGAGCTGTGGACCCCCCAGAGTCCAGACCAGCTCAGGTACCCCTCACCTGCTCCACCTGCATCTACACCCACATGAACCACCATCAGCTGTGTGACAGAGAGGAAGGTTCTCCACCAGGAGGAGACTCTCCCTCCTCCAGAGAACACAGAAACACTGAGGAACCAGAACCGGACCAGAACCCAAACCCAGGATAAAGAGGTTCAGTGAATGTGGTGCTGAAGGTGTGGAGGTGGATCAGTGTGTCAGAGGAGACTCTGTAGAAGGACAGAGAGCCAGCAGGCCAGTCCACATACACTGCTACTCTACCAGAGGTGGAGGAGGAGGAGGAGGAGGTGGTGATGTGTGTTTCTGTCTTATTGTGACGGACAGAGTAACCTTCATCAGAGCAGCTCAGACTCCAGGACTGATCATTCTCTCCAAACAAACAGTCACTGATTTCTTTCCTCCTGATTCCTCTGTAACTCACTGATACATCAACGTCTCCTCTCCACTCGACCTCCCAGTAACAGCGACCAGTCAGACCAGTTCTACACAGCAGCTGATCCCAGATGTCAAACCTGTCTGGATGATCAGGATGTGACTGATCCTCCTTCACATGCGTCACCTTCCTGTTGTTGTCAGACAGTTTGAGGTATTTGTTTACTGTGTTTGTGTCGATTGTGAGTTCACAGGAATCTGATGAGAGAACAAGACACAATACAGCTGCAGTTATTAATCATGTGTTCATCTACTGACACTTTGATGATGACATCACAGAGGTGAATGAGTGATGTCACAGTGTGAAGATGAATCTTCATGAATCAAAGCACACTTACACTTCCTCAGACCTGGTGTCAACCATCCGACTCCATCAGGCTCCACCCTGAAAGGAGGAGGGGGGTCAGAGCAGCATGGAGACATGGACATTACATCACTCTCACACACAGCTTTGTCCTTCATGTCCACATGGAGCACCTCTTCTTCTTCTACCACTACTTACAGACGACCACAGACTGTCAGTCAGGCGTCACACAGCGACGAGGTGCTGGAATATATTCATGGAATAAAGTAGATAAATGTGGAATAAATAATAAACGGACCTGTCGCTGTACTTTCACCAGATGGGAATTAAAATGTGAGAAATGACGTCGTGCTGCAGATGAAGCTTCATGGGACGTGTGCAAAGGAACATTAACATTAAACCGTTTAATAAGCAAATATTCACTAAATATAGAAATAAAGACCATTCAGTATTTACAATGTTTCACAATGAACAAACAACACAAACAAAGAGAAGAAACGCACTCGTTAGTTTATTGAATTCACTGTTTGGTTTTTCACTCATTCACTTCCGTCCCGTTCTGCACTTTTACTGTGATATTACAGAACGTCCTCATGTAAATACACTCAAGCACCTGCAAACGGGTCGGCGTGTGGATTCAAGCCAAAGGTGTGATCATTGAATGTACTGTAGTATTCAGTCAGGTCACAGGCTGCTGATCATAATAGTACTATTATAATATAGTACTTTGTGTTCTCAGCGTGTCGAGGTGCAGAGCTACTAACGATTGTCACGTCATCAGCTGTTGTGTCAACACGCCTCATATGGTTTACAGGAGTAATCACATGATGTAGAGACAATGTCTTCATTAGAGTCAAAGGGACACAAGGACTGTTCATTGATGTTCACCCTCCAACACTGATGGACATTCAAGTAAAGGTAAGAAATACAACTTTAATATCACTTGTGATCATTTCAGCATTGATACAGTTTGATATCAGCTTTGTCTTCATTTGATTTGATCTCGATTCCAATTTAAAGAGCCGCTCTGATTTTAATGTGACGTTCTGAAAAGGTTGAATAGATTTGATCTCCAGTGGTCGAACTAGATTGTATTTAAATGTCAGATAAGTGGGTTATTATTGCTTTAGGCTTTGAGTTAAGGTCCATCGTCACTACTAGTTCAAGTTTGAATGGTATTCAACGTTTAAACATAAGATTGATTATTGATTATCGTTGTGACTTCAGACTTTTACTTTCTTAACTTGAACTTCATTTTGCTTTTATGGATTTTCATTAGACGTTTATTTTAGTTTCCTCTTCTCTCTCCTGCGGCAGCGTTTACACCCTAAAAGTTTCATCTCAGCTTTGTGATTCTAACATTGAGTTGGATTGATTTTTAATTTGCTGAAAGCCGTAACTAGTTTGAGATGATCTGCGGTTTAGTTTGATTTGTACTGACGGCGTTCTGATCCGTGTTGTAGTTGTTATGTGACTCAGTGGTTTGATGGACTGGTTCCCTTTCAGGTCCACTGCTTTACTTTCCATTGCTGAGTTCACTTGGTTGTTTGGTGTTTTGCAGGTTTCATTAGTTTGACTTTACATCATTAGTCGTCTCCTCACAGTCAGTGACAGAGTAGCTCCTAAAGGACAGGAGGACATCTCAGGGGGGGTTTAGATGCACCAGGTTGCATCATGGTCGTGTTTACGACTCAGGACCTGCTGAGTAGCACCAGAGAGAAGATGGAGGAGCAGACGGAGGCCAAAGGAAGAGAAGCAGTGGACGGACTTGAGAGCACGATGAGGAAAC